TCTTTTCTTTATAAATTACCAAGTCTCAGGTAGTACCTTCATAGCAGTGTGAAGATGGACTGATATATGACTATTGAGACGTAGGGGAGGGAATATTTCTTTTTTGTTTTGTTTTAAGCCATATAGAACTATTTGATTTTTTAAAACATAAACAAATAGATAAATGAGTAAGCCAACAAATCTAACACAGCTGAGAGATGAAGGGACCCCTGTAGGATGATGATGAATAGAGGTCCCAGGGACTGAGAGGCTAGAGGACAACCAGCTCAGGTTAGAGCAGGACAAAAAAAGGGCTGTGGTCATTCCTGATAGCCTGCCTACCATGGCAAATCAGTGCTTCCTGATTTAGGAGAAATCACGTGTACAAAAAAATGACAAGATGACTATAACTGAAGTTTCATTGAGCTGGGTACTGCTAGCTAAGCACAAGACTGTAAACAATATTATCTCACACTACGAGATAAAACATTGTTACTAACTTAAAATATACTTTCTTTTTTACTTGTTTGAAAAACTATGATAATTTTTTTTAAATTTGCTGAAGATTGTTATGTCAAATGTAAACCAAACTTAACTATGAAAATGCCTATGCTGGCTGGTGTTTCCTTTGGAGAAGCATTTAGTCTTATTTGCTGGCATCCTCCTGATGGGTCAAATATCAGTTCTGACTGGTTGCTGGTTAGGTGTCCTTTGTTTGTTTTTCTTTTTTCGTATTACATCTACTTCCATGGAAAATGTAAGCCTAGTCCTAATAGAGGGGTTCCCACCAATAGCTCAGGGTTTACCAGCATCATCTAGAAACTTCCATAATAGATGCCACCACCCTTTCTCATTTTTGCCAAGTGTCAGGAGTTTTACACTGGTGATGTGGAATACAGGGATAGCAGTGTCTTCTTTGATGCTTGGGAACTTTCAAAATACCACTTTTCTTTTTTTCCCCACTTGATAGTTGTATTAAGTCTCAAGGGAAAGCTGGTCTTCTTTGAAAATCAGACTGGGAAACTTTGTTCTAATGCACCAGTAACTCTTGTTTCTTTTTCTGAGTGATTTCAGACCCTCCAAATCTCCTGCTGAGGACTTGAGATGGCAGAGGCAGAGGATAACATGTCTGGCTTATCCTCAGAACACGCAGTCATAAGAGGCCCACTGCAAGATCCCCAGGAGGCAGCATAGTATAGCTCAGAGCACATTCTCTAGAGTCGGGATTGGGTCCCATCATTACAACTTACTAGCTGTGTGACTTTGACCTTGGAGAAGTTAATTCTACTCCCTGGGGTCCATGGTCCTTCTCTCTAAATTGGGGTGCTATCAGCATCGACCTTACAAAGTCATTGTGACATTTAGAATAATGCTGGGCATATCATAGGCATACATGTGTTATGGGCTTACAAGAGTCAGTTGCGTAGTGATAGCACTCAGCGCCACATGTGGAAAATGGTTCTGACAGCTGACATTCTAAGAAGTTCATCTTCATTTTAGGGCTAAGCAGAAGCCAACTGATAGATTTATGGTGATGGGAGGATTTGTACAACGTATAGGAGTTGGGGCTAGAGCAGTCCGAAAGTCTTCTCCACTTCCCTGTAACATGCTCAAGACTGACTCACATGGCCTTTAGCTAGTTAGCTGAGCTCAAGGGCTAATGTTGTGTGCCCTGAGGTCAGGGCCATGTATCAGTGTTGCTTGGAATCCACATTTTTGTGGCCAAGGTGGGAGCCAGTTTCTAGAAGCCTTGTCTAACTCCATGATGAAATGTAATCTATGGAATGGAAAAGTATAACAGCAGCACTGATGTTTTTCCTTCTGTGCTCACTCAGACTCAAGCCTGCTGGTATCCTTTGGGTAGGGAGGAACTCCACATTTTCAGATGAAATCCATACTTAAACAACAAAAACAAAAACTTTGAGCAAGTTGCACAGGAAGGAAGTGTGTCTCTTGGTACCAGGAGGCACAGAGGCACAAAGTACAATGTGTTTAGAAACAACCAACTCATAGGCACACACTTATACCATCTGCTGGGTGTCTTACATGCCCTAGCTGCCAGAAGATGGGAAGATGCTCCCCCAAGAGAGCAGCAAGCTAGCTGCAACGCTGGGCTCCTCAGCCTCCAAGACGAGGTCTCAGTGGGTTCAAATGCATTTCATTAAATGTTCTATTACACTAAAATGACCATATTGTAATGGAACAGACTTGGTATTTTTTTAAGTACAAAATCAATGTGCTAACATTAGTTATCCTTATATTAATGTAATAACATTAGTCTTCTTAAAAAAAGAAAAATATCATATGAAATATCACCACTCATATGCAATTTCTATAAATTGTCTTTGTTTTTGTGCTTTCTCCCCAGGCTTGTATATTTTTACAGAGTGGTAACCAGCCTTTTCACTTAATATTATAATGTAAGAATTTTCTCAAGTTGCATTTAGTTTTATCACTTAAAGGTTTTTTAAAGCTGCTAAGTATTATCTTACATGCATTCACCGTATTTTAAATGAATAATCATTTACTATTGAATAAAGTTGCTACTGGTTTTGCATTACTGTAATATTCACTAATATTCATACTTACGCTCATTCTTGATTTTTAAATCATTTATCTTCTATAGCACTGCTGGGTTAAAAGATATGAACAACTTTATGACTTTTTTTTTACTGAATAAAAAACAATGCTTTTTCAATTAAATCTAGAAGATTGGCCACATGCATTTACCTGTCCTTTCTGCTGACATTCCACTAAGGTGGAAGAGGAAAGGGAACACAGGACATGTTTGGAAAGCCCAAGAAGGTATTGCACTGAGTGGGCAAGCCACTGTTGGAGAGGCTGCATGATGAGCCCCTTAGAGTAGGCGCAGAGAGAGTGAGGCCAGCTGAGCTGTGCCTCTCCTCTGTCCCCACCAAAGGCCAAGCACGTGGTAAAGCTATTGTGCAGCCTCCAGCCCTGCCCAGGGCTGCTGAATACCACTGAGTGTGTCCAGTCAATACCACTTGCATCAAAGGGTTCACCCCTCAAACCTCAAGTCTTTGACCCCCAAATCATGACATACAATGAGATGGTTGTTTTGAGCAACTGAATTTTGCTGTACAGTGATAGATAATTAAAGGAGAAGAGGAAAATATAGGAGAGAGCATATAAAAGTATGAACATGAGAAAGTGATTATGAATTCCAGGAAAAGCAGAACATTTACAAAGAAAACAAAGTAATTATAGAATACTGCTCAGCTACTTCTGAATGTACCATAATCTATTTAACCTCCTCTGACATTTAATGTTTTCTGTGTGCTTGTGTGCTCTCTTTCTCTCTCTCTCTCTCTCTGTGTGTGTGTGTGTGTGTGTGTGTGTGTGCGCGTTATAGACAAGTTTCAGTGACGACTCATGTACCTGCTTCTGGGATTTAGGCAGATTCCCTCAAAATATGCCACTCTGGCTTTTGAGAAAACAGCAGAAGCAGGACTTTCTCCACAACCCTTATCTCTTGAAGCAGGCCCTGAAACCTAGTCCCTTTCCTCCTCTAAAGTGGGGCATGAAACCCTCATTAACATCCTTATCTCTGAAGATACAGGAACACAGAGAAGAATCTGAACCAACAAACCTTGCTTAGTTCTCCCAGCTCATCACCATTAGATCACACCCCCTTTCTCCAATCACACTTCCTCATGACTGTCTATTCGTCATTAAACGTTAGCAAAAAAAAACTGTGCAGTTATCCCTGTTCCTTTGGGTCTTCATTTATGAAGGCTGTTGTGTCTCGTAAAACTTAGGTTACGTAAATTTGCGTGCTTTTCTTTAGGTCATTTGTCCTTTATTATAGGGTCCTCAGCCATGAACCTTGCCACAGTCGTGAAAAGATATTTTTTCTCCCCTACAGGGCCAACTTCCTAGGACAGATTCCTGTGGGGGAATTCCTGGGTCAGGCTGTTTTTCTAGGTCAGGAGGGTATTTATTTATTTATTTTTTATTTTTTTATTTTTTGAGATGGAGTCTTACTCTGTTGCCCAGGCTGGAGTACAATGGCGTGATCTCGGCTCATTGAAATCTCTGCCTCCTAGGATCAAGTGATTCTCCTGCCTTAGCCTCCTGAGTAGCTGGGATTACAGGCACATGCCACCATGCCCAGAAAAGTTTTATATTTTTAGTAGAGACAGAATTTCACCACGTTGGCTGGGCTGGTCTCAAACTCCTGACCTTAAGTGATCCGCCCTCCTCGGTCTCCCTAAGTGCTGGATTACAGATGTGAGCCACCATGCTTGGCCTTGATTAATAAGTGTATTAAGGTTCTTGATACACCACCAGGTTGTTTTTCAGGAGGGTCCCCTCAGATCACACTCCTACATGCTGAGAGGTTTGTGTCAGTTCCTTGAAAAGGCCGTTTTCATATAAGCGCACTGGCACCTTCAGAATGCTGTAATTCCCCTGTCCTCTCCCCTTTGGATGTCTTGGCTCTTTCTGGCCATTGTGTTTTTCCAGGGCCTTTCATTGTCTTCAGCTCTTGGGTAATCCACCTCTCATCCTCCTTCCCAAAATGCATTTTCCCAGGGGTCCAAACCCAGCACTTAAATTAGCTAGCTATATAATTTTGAGCAAATCACATAAATTCATTGGAATCCAGGTCCTTCATTTTCAAAGGGAGACAATTTACCACATTATCTCTAATACCACGTTATCTCTAAAGCCCTCTTAGTTACAGTTTAAAAAATATTGAATAATTAGAAATAACCTAAATGTTAACAACCAGTGTTGCATAAATCATGATATATCCAGATGATGGAATACAATGTAGTAATTTTTGAAAAATGTATTTTTATTACAGTGCATGGGAACTAACTCATGATACAATGCTACATGAAATCAGCATGATACTGTATGAATCCCAACTGATGAATACACATTTTAATATATAAAATTAAAAAGAAATACACCACAAGGCTGGCAGCGGCTTACCGTATGATTGTTTTATTGATGATATACAGTCAGAAAAAACATATTTTGTACAATTGTGAAAATCAGACACTGCAGTAGGATCAGGGTAAGCTTCGTGGTTTCTGGGTAGCCTTTCCCTGACACCCAGGCAGAATCAGGGCCCTTCATCTTGGCTCCAACTAGATGTACAACAATACAGCAAATATTACTCTGCATTGCAAGTTGACATATTTGCTTCCTACTAAATTCTGAGCCCACTGAAGACAAAGTCCTTGCCTTGTTTGTTGATATATCCATATCATGACACCTGTCACTTAGAATACTCCAGACACACATTGGCTGAATGTTTAATGCATTGGTGGGTGAAACAATTTCTGTTGGAATTATAATTTTGAATTTGACATTGCCTGCTACTAAGTTAAATAATCTGAGCACCCCAGATAATACTTTCTTCCAAATGCTTTATCAAAAACTGGAGTAAATTGCCACCAAGTGCTGTCTGTGAGTTTGGACTGAAAAATTCCTCTGGGGGTGATGAAGGCATCAGACCACTATACCTGGTGGCATCCATTGTGTGTGCATACATCGATGGCCCATTGTTGGGATTCCTCATTTACCATGTAACTTTCAGGTTGTAATTTGGCTTCTTATGGAAATGTCAAAACAGAACAAATGTGCTAACCAGGCTAGAAAGCATGAGTAGCTGATCCCTCTGGTAGTTATGTTTCTCATGGTAAATTAATGAATTGGCAAATTTTTGTTTGCTCAGCCTTTCTGAACTCAATTGACTCTGCAACACTGAGAAAATTGGATTTGGAGATCTGCAAAGCTGAGGCTGAGATTTTGGACTTGGCAATCCAAACAAGGCACACCACGCTTCGAGGCCTGTCGATATGCTTTCTTTTTGTGACACTGTCTATTTACCCTCCCCCAATAGTAGAGAATCAGAGTGTTCCTTGTCAGCGTTGCTACGGAGAAGATACATAGGATGGAAGGACAGCTCCTTGTAGGACTCAGGGCGCAACTGAAGAGCTTTGGAGAAACCTTCAGGTTTTGGCACAACAAAGTTTTGACATACTTAGAAGAAGACCAGGTTAAATTGTGCAATGATTCATCATACAGTCCTCCCTTGGTATATGCCAGAGTTCTGAGTACACCAAATACGTACATGCTGCAGTCATGTGGTTGGCCCAGTAGAACCCACCTATATAAAAAGTCATTAGCATCCCAGGAATACTGCATTTTTGATCCTTGCATAAATGGAACATCACAGTTGAAATCCATATTGTTCAAGGGTCAACTGTAGTTACATGCTAGTGCAAAAGGTACTAAGTTGTACCTAGCCATCTGTATTTCTTACATTCCTGCTCTCTAAATTGTATTTTCTTTGTATCTGTAATCAATCTAATTGATATTCATGTTTAGCTGTTTTAAATACATCTTACTGCTTTTGTAGAAAAAGCCTTACTAGTTAGTAAAAGCATGCCACTGTCTTTGTTAATGATTCACCATTTCTTCCATCCCTCCTCTTAGAGTTGAAGGATTCTCCCCTCTGCCACAGTAATGTCTGGCTGGTATTATGACATCTGCTTTTCAAATTTGTCTCTGCCATTAGCTGCTCTTCAAGCTGCTTGATCCTCAAGCCTCTCTTGGCCTCTGTGTAGGCTTCTCTGGCACTCTGGGTAGAACTAGACCAAGAGACTTCTTGTCAAAAAGCAGATGGGATCATGCATGGGGCCCCATGCTCTAAAAATCTCTCTTGGCTTTCTGTGGTTTAAGAAAAAGTCTAAATTCCCAAGCTGATATAAAAGACTTCACAATTTGCCACCATGTCCCACTATATAGCTCATGGCCTGGTCACACTGAGATGCTCAAATTCCTCAAATATGTCTTCCTGCCTCATCCTACTTCAGTGTCTTTTTACCCCCATTACTTCTGCCTGGAATGCTTTCCACAACCTTTTTGGAAATTTCATTTACATCTTTCAAAACCAAGATGATCCGTCATGTCAGCAAGTGTGGTTTCTTGCCCCTTCCTTTGTGTTTTCACAATCCTTTAAACAAATCTATTCTCTAGCAATTACCCCCGATTTTATAAATATCTGTTTGCACATGTTCGTTTCTTTCTAGACTGTGAACTTGAGAGCAGAGAGCTGTCATTCATCTCCATAGAGCCAGTGCATAACACAGTGTTTGACTCATCATAGATCCTTAATTCATGTTTATTGAATTTATTAATTAAGCCATAACCAAGGCATCACCATCCATTTAATTGCAAATGAAGTTCCATGGATGAAATTAACAGCCTCATTTCTATCAGCCCTCACTGATAAAGTGATGACAAACACTGAGTGTGTCACACAGTGCCAGCCAAGGTAGAGCAAGGAAAAGCATCCAAGGGCACTGGCCTTGCCCTTGAGGAGCTTACAATGTAGTTGGAAAGATAAAGTTTTCATTCACCGAACAAACTGAGGACAAAGTGAAGAACGTTTAAAGCTATGTTAGTTGCAGGAGGCATGTGAAGTGTCTGAGGTTTGAGGTTGGAAAAAATGCAAGCAGATCCCCTCCCTCACATGCTGCCATCTCCCTCAGCAGTATGGTTGGAAGGTGGACTCACTTAAAATCCAGTGTGGGAGTAGGTGGGGGGATTGTGATGAGCATCTTCAGAAAGTTTTCTATATGAACTTGGATCAAGACTACTATTGAGGAAAATGTGGTTTGGGATTGGCAATAGAGAAGGCTGGGAGAAAGGCATTCTAGAAAGATAAAACAATGTAGGGAAATCTAGATACTGGGGTTCTGAAGCATGCCTAATCTGAATCAAATCCTTAGGCATCACAATTGTTTGAAGGACTCTGAAGTGCTGTGCAGCCAGAGAGCAACAATACAAATAATTCTGCTCTCTTCTTTTGCTTTACCATTCACACAACTTTTATGCACTTCTGAAATAGTCATTTGGTCCTTGCAACACTTCTGTTTGGTGGGCTGAGTCTTCCTTCACCTCATCACCCTGTGCCCCACCCTAAATGAAGGCAGAAACCCTCCTAGAGAGGATGCTCACAAAACACTCCACAGGCCCCCTGAACTTCCCTTTGACGAGGCACATTTGCATGCTGTTGTGTTTACTGGTTTATTCCTGGGGAAAGTAGATGCCTTTTTTTTTTTTTATCTCTTCCCAGCACCTGAAACAAAACAGAAGCTCAGTAAATGTTTGTTGCATGAGTGATTAAATGCATGGCTGCAATACAATGTATGGCAATCTTACTTGCCATTCTTACTTATTGTCTCTATCTAATGTCTCATTCTTCACCTGAGTTCACAGGCTACTCAACAAGTCCCCAGCAGTGAATCCCAAGATTGTGACCCATCTCAGAATCCCCAGCTCACCAAATATTGAATGGTCAGTGTGGCCCACAAATCAGTTGGACCCACCCTTCCTCCAGGCTTAGAGTTACTGAAGACTGGATAATAAAGATAACAACGCCTTGAGCTTGGCATGTGTGCCTGCCAGAGCACAGAAACAGACATGACCCAGCAGCCCAGGCTCTGCTGATAACAAAGGCTTTCTGAGCAATGGCCCTTCAAAGCAACAAATCAAGACAGACAGCCTGCCAAAATCATGCAGACCCAGCAGACTGAGAATCCCTTACCCACTGAGAAACAGCCTTCCCAGTGCATCCATCACTTAGACAACTCAAATTAGATGGTGAGAACATCAAGGAAGCAGAGTCGGCCTTTATGGATTTAGGAAAGCTTTCTGATGCCTTGGGCAACCTTGCCCCAAGTAACCCCCACTTTCCACCACTCAGTGAGCCAAAGAAATACATACCCTTATCTGCCTGTCAGATTTCTATTGATCCTTCAAGACTGCTCAGATGCCACCTCCTCTGTGATGCCTTCACTCAGCTCTGAAGAGCACACCGTTAGGTGGAGAGTTGGTTTTGATGCTGTTCTGGGCAAGGGTCTAAGTACTATCCAAATTCTGATTTTCCAACCAAACACCTCTTCCCTAAAAGAGATATTCACAAGGAAAACTTAGGGGAACAAATAATCCTTTTGCACCCAGCACCCCATTGTAGGCCTCTCTGAAAGTGTAGGATTGAACTAAAAAACTTAGTTTGAAACCCAAGCTGGGCTTTTATCTCCTCCTAAAGTCAAAACCCAAGTTATGGTGCCTTAGCCTCTCTCATTATGGCAATGATAAGTGAATTCAGGTGTGTAGAAGGGAGGAGAAACTGTCAGGCCTGGCCTGAGTGGTGGGCTCCGAGTTCACTCAATTCTACCGTATGTGAAGCTTGCTGTCTTAGCCCGTCTTTGTTGCTGTAACAAAATATCACAGACTGAGTAACTTATAAATAGGCCAGGTGCGGTGGCTCATGCCTGTAATTCCAGCACTTTGGGAGGCTGAGGCAGCTGAATCACCAAGTTAGGAGATCAAGACCACCGTGGCCAACATGGTGAAACCCCATCTCTGCTAAAAATACAAAAAATTAGCTTGGTGTGGTGGCACGAGCCTGTAATCCCAGCTACTTGGAAGACTGAGGCACGAGAACCACTTGAACCCAAGAGGTGAATGTTGCAGTGAGCCGAGATAACACCACTGCAATCCAGCCTGGTGACGGAGTGAGACTCCTTCTCAAAAACAAACAAAAAACCAACCAACCAAACAAAAACTTATAAACACTAGAAATTTATTTCTCATGGTTCCAGAGGCTGAGAAGTCCAAGATCAAGGCACCAGTATGACTGGTGTCTGGTTAGGGCTGCTCTCTGCTTCCAAGACAGCATCTTATTGCTGCAGCCTCCAGAGGGGAGGAATGCTGTGTCTCATATTGGCAGAAGAGCAGAGAGCAAGAGAGAGCAGGAGGGAACTGAACTCACCCTTTTGTAATGGCTCCAATCCTACCCATGAGAATGGAGCCCTTGTGGTCTAATCATCTCTTAAAGGTTCCATCTCTTAATACTGTTACAATGGCGATTAAATTTTAATGTGCGTTTTGGAGGGGACAAACATTCAAGCTATAGGAGGTAGGCTGGAGAGGGGAGAAACTGATGTTTTGGCTGATTATTGCTTATCCTTTTCAAATTGAGTGACCCCACTCATACATAAATATGGCTTGGCTAATGGCTTGGAATCTGGTCAATCATATGAGCAAAGGGAAGAAGGGCCACTTCCCTTTCAAAGATGACTTTAACCCTTTTACCATCAACCACACATCTATAGAATCAGATTTTATTTTTACCTTTGTAAATACAGTTTATTCAGTTTCTTTTGAAGTATTATTAGTATCTGAAATTATTTTGTTACATTGTTCTTGTACTTGTCATATGACTGGAATGTAAACTCCTTCGAGATAGGAGCTCTGCCTGTCTTGTTTTCTGTTATATCCCAGCATTAAGAAGAGTACCTAATATTTAATACATATTTGGTGCTCAATAAATATTTGTTGGCTGACTGACCTGCTATCTCAGCAACAGCCGCAAAGAGTCACAAAACAAGTATAAAGCATTAGAATCAGATTTTTAAGGTGACTCATTCACATTCAACATTCATGTTCTGAGTTGGAACCCAAGAGAGGAGCTTCATCTTCAGGCACCACTCAGCATTCCCCTGTGTGCATCCTCACAGGTAGGTAATATAAAGGGATATGAATGCTTTGTTTTTTAAAGAATCAAAAAATATCTAAATAATTGTTTATTTGCTTTTTTTTTTTTTTAGATGGAGTCTCGCTCTGTCACCAGGCTGGAGTGCAGTGGTGAGATCTTGGCTCACTACAACCTCCACCTCCCAGGTTCAAGCGATTCTCCTGCCTCAGCCGCCCAAGTAGCTGGGACTACATGTGTGCATCACCACACCCAGTGAATTTTTGTATTTTTTGTAGAGACGGGGTTTCACCATGTTATCCAGGATGATCTCGGTCTCTTGACCTCGTGATCTGTCTAAATTCTTCTTCTAGGGCTTCTAGGCCATATGAACCAGTCCCTGCCATTTCAGGACTGAGTTAGGAGAAGTGCTTAGGATTTGAGAAGCCTGTGGAGTTTCTCAGGATGGAGTGGGTGCACAGGTAGGGGAGAAAGGGTCAGAAAGAAGTACAGAAAAAAAAAACAAGGAGATTATAGAGGGAGGAAAGAAGAAGGGGCTGGGGAGACCAGAGAGGGCACAGACCCCTCACATTCTTCCAGTAGACTCTAGGGACCAAAAGGAGGCTCAATGGACAAGTACAAGAACATTTGGACCATCTCTAGACTCTCTGAGCTCACGGTTAACTGATGGTGACATGATTTCCTTCCCAGAAATGCTGGCCTGAGTTTGCCTCTCGTTTTTCTCATGCAAAGTTGTCTCACACAGAAAGCATGTGAATGCATGATTTAGAATAAATGGCCCAGATGAAGACTGTCACTTTAATGATCAGAGAAGCTCCAAACATCGCCAGCTTAGACCAGTGGTGGAGATAGCGTGGAAGGAAACACAGCTACCTGAACATTGTTCATGTAGCTGAGAACTCTGGTACCCTAGAAACAGTCCCCAGCTTTCCCACTCTCAGTTGCAGACCCTGGTTTCATCTCTGGCATTTCAGATCTCACTTGACCTCTAGCGTGATGGGTGTCCTGATATTTGGTCCCAACTGTCAGCTCTATCAGATGCTCTCTAAAGGGCAGGGAACTGTTAGACCAAACATGGTACATTCACACTCCTGATATCCTTCCAAGGACGGATGCGCATGGCAGACTGTTCACTAATAACAAATCCCCTTTAGGAAATGTGAGCCAATGTGGCTTCCACAAATGTAGAAGCATTAAATTGCCAGGGGTCAACGTTCCACTCCTTTCTTCCCCTATAGGAGAAAACCCTTAAGCACTAATTTAAAACAGAGGCATAATGATGGTGCTAAGTGGTTATCTGGAGCACAGCCCTTCACCAACCAATGGGGCTTGTAACATCAATGATACATAGATTTTTAAGCCACTGAGATTCTGGTGGAGGTTATGACTATAACGTAACCTAACTTATGCTAACTTCAATACTTTACAAGCAGGAAAAAAGCATCATTGTGAAGAGATTTTAATGGCATGTATATTAGTTACCCAGGACTGCTGTCATAAAGTACTACAGTCTGGGTGGCTTGACCAACAGGAATTTATTGTCTCATTCTAGAGGCTAGAAGTCTGAGAGCAAGGTGTCAGCAGGGTTGGTTTCTGAGGCTGTCAGGGAGAATCTGTTTCAGACCTCTCTCTTTGCTTCTGGGATTTTGCTGGCAATCTTTGGTGTCTCTTGGCTTGCAGAAGCATCACCCCAATCTCTGCCTTCATCATCACATGCTGTTCTTCCCACATGCACGTCTGTATGCAAAATTCCCTCTTTTATTAGGACAGCTTTCATATTGAGTTAGGTGATCACCCTATCCACAGATGACCTCATTTCAACTAATTACATCTGCAATGGTCCTATTTCCGAATCAGGTCACATTCTGAGGTACTGGGGGTTACAAATTAAACAGACGGCTAATATACAAGTTTTCTGAAGGGACACAATTCAAACCATAACAGTGTAAAAGCTTGGGCATATACCATAACATTAGGTTCAAATAACAGGAAAGAAGTTGCACAATTGGGCTGGGCACAGTGGCTCATGCCTGTAATCCCAACACTTTGGAAGGCTGAGGCAAGTGGATCACCTGAGGTTGGGAGTTCGAGACCAGCCTGACCAACATGGAGAAACCCCATCTCTACTAAAAATACAAAATTAGCCAGGCATGTTGGCTCATGCCTCTAATCCCAGCTACTGAACTCCGGAGTGGGAGGTTGCAGTGAGCCAAGACTTGCTCAATAGCCTGAACTGGGAGGTGGAGGTTGCAGTGAGCTAGGATGGTGCCATTTGCACTCCAGCCTGGTCAACAAGAGCGAAACTTCATCTCCAAAAAAAAAACGTTGCACAATAAAAGGACCCTAAATATGATACATAAACTGTGAAATATATCTGATACACATATTAATATATAGATATTTGCATATAATTATATTTATATAAAATATATATTACATAAAAATATATAAAGTATATATTGTATAATTTTTAAATAATAAGGCTAGTTATTCAGCATTTTACTATTTTTTTCACAATGAATATGTGTTATTCTTGTAGAAACAAAAGTGCTGTTTTTAACAAATTGTTGTACTCTCTCTGTTCCTCTTGCTGTGCCCACCTGGCTGGGTCGCTTGAGAGGCTACCAATTGTTGGAGTTTTGAGTTTTGCCACTTGTTTTTCTCAGGCAGAGTTGTCTCGCACAGATGGTGCGTGAATGAATGATGTAAAATGAATGACATAGATGAAGACTCCCCTTCTTAATGGTCTAGGGAGCTCAAAATACAATCAGCTTAGATCCAGGGATGGAGACAGTGTGGAAGAAAACACAGACTTCTCAAGGGAGCCAAGGACAGATAAAAATAATCTGGACATAGGGAGTGGATGGATGGAGAAGTCCAGGGTAAAAGGCTTTCCAAGTATCTCTCTGACATGGGTGCCTTGGAAACCTTCTTGTCCACCACCACCTAATATCCATCTTCCAAGGATCTATCAGCATCCTACTTCGTCCATGTAGCCTTCCTTGACTCATTCCATCTTCAAAGATCTCCCTCGTCTTCCAGCTTCTACAGCACTTAGAGTCTAGACCAGTAGGTTTTCGGTGGGGTCCTGGAGTCCACATCCCCCATACCAGAAGTATTTCGTGAACCATCTCATCTCAGAGGAGGGAGGATGTACAATGCCCCATCCTGGCTTTGACCAAAACAGCTAAAAAAAATGTAACCTAATTTATGCACTTTGATATACAAAGAACAGGTTCTGCTGCTATAACAAAAATTCTTTTGACAAGCTGCAGTATCCCCTCAGGTACTTTAGTTCTGAAGGACTGGAGACCAAGGTTTTGCCTTCACTGGGTGGTGGGGTCTTCTGGCATCAGTGAGGGAGAGGTTAACCTTTCCCATCTGTGATCGGGCTGCTAGGGCCTGTCAGCCACGGGTTGCCATAGAGACAGTTATGAGATACTCAACAGTCTTGGCAACTGCACTGGGAGGCCTCTCCTCACTCAGCTCAAAGCAGGCATGTTGCTGAAGACTTGCATCCTGCTCTTTTGTTATTCAGAGACCTCAGAAACTGCTGCCCTGAGGATCCATGTAAAAAAACTAGTACTTTCAGTACATTTTTCTGCTCTTTTGCCCTTTTCTGGGAAACAATACAAAGATAAATAAAGCAAAACAAAGCAAGAACTCTGTTTGGAAACATAAGTCAGAGGGGACCTACAGTTGGTGAGCTGTTCAGAGAAGCATTGCCCATACTTCAGGTCCTGGGGTTGGACAGGGCCTGTCTCCGTTCTGAGATATTTTTTCCTTGTCAGATGGTCATTTACCCAAATCCTCTAACTGCTGTCAGAATGCTCTTTCTAGTGCTAATAAAACCAAAGATAATATTGCCTAGGCAAATGCTAAACACTCTACTTTATTCTCACTTCATAGATGCGAAAACTGAGGTCCAGAAAGACAAGTTACATGCCTTATAACATGCAGCTGTTGACTCCGAAGCCAATGCACTTAGCCCCTCTGCTATTCTGTCTCTTATGCTACATTGAAACTGTAACTTCTACTCACTGGCCATAACTCATTCTTTGGAGCAGTGCAGAGTGCTCCGTTTCACAGCCTTTTCCCTCAGAGAGAATGTGGGTGACATCTTCAGTGAACTGGGAGTGCCATGGGCCATTATGAGGAATGATGCTCAGAAGGCAGCCCAATGTCTCCCCTTGCTCTCCCAACTCCAGGCTAAACTTCTCTAGGTTCCCTTAAAAAGGGTAAGAGTTCCTGCTCATTATTCTCAACAAACAAGTGCATCTATCTTAGCTTCTTTCCAGAAAAAGGCAGAAAATCCTTAATGGCTGCTCCTCCAGCCACTCACTCCATTAGGCTGGCAGACGTTAAATGGACCTTCTTCACCCCACCATTGGCATATGCCCTGCCTGGTGCCCAGTAGGTGAGGAACAACCTACAAGGCTATACTCGGCCCCCTGGTCCCAGAAGTGGTGGCAGCAACAGTAGCAACAACAGGTTGTCTGTCTTTAAGCCGAGTCTGGGAAGACAATTTAGTGACAGATGAGATACCCCATTGGGCACTATTGCCTAAGTGTCAGGCATGGGTTAAAGTTTCTGGAATCTCATCTCCTTTTCTGCATTGTGCCCTTAGAGAACAAAATCTATAAGGATGTGGTATTTAAGGTGATGACTGTAATCTTCTCATCCAACTGGATCATTTTACTGGTGAGGAAACAGATCCAGAGAGGTGATACCATGTTTTCAGCCAGTGGCAGCACCAGGAACTAAATTCAGGTCTGTCCAAATCCAAAGCCTGCTCCCTTAACCATCAACACAATAGAGTTCATATTGGTCTCTGGCATCAAGCAGCACCCTGACTTTGAGAAACCTGTCAAATGGCCATCATACAAGTACCTCACAGTGTTATCTCCATCTGTGGAGTTGCCATTAAAGCAGGAGTGACAGGAAACAAATCTCTCCAACACCGAACTGAGGAAGAAAGTGGCTTTTTATTTGGCCAGGAGCTGCGGGGGGCTAAAGCCTCATTCACCGACTTCCCCAAGAAGCAGCTTCTTTCCCTTTTTATAGGCTTACAACACTAAAGGGGAAACTGAGGCGAAACTATATCATTGCCCATTGGCTGGATGTCCAACCTTACAATCTTTTGGCTTCATTGGTTTACTAGTTCATATGCAGTGTGAGTGGGAAACGCAGGGGAGGGGGCTTACGAAGACAAGACAAAAGCAGTAGATTATTAGCTGACAGATGTATTTCCAGGAGGGAGCCCGGGGTCATGCAAATGTGGGGGACATGAACCAGTGCCGGGTTCCAGCCAGGAGTGATATCTGCAACTCTTTCAAGTCTTACAGATAGGAGAGACCCCGGGAACCAAAAAGGGAGTCATCTCCCCAGTCCTTGGGCCTCTCGATGGCCTGGTCAGTGGTGTTAGCAAGTCGCCTGACCATGGATTCAAGCTCTTTGGTATTTTATTTCTTTTTTACCCTTCTTCCCATCCAGAGGGGAGGGGAGGAGGGAGGTGGAGACCGGGAAGCAGAAGGAGGCAAGTGGGTCTTCCCTCTCACTGTGAGTATTAAATGAGACATACCATGTCATGTGCCTATCACTGTGCCAAGCATGGAGCCAATTCTCAGCCAAAGGTAGCCAGTGCTATCAGCAGGGATAAGGATCCATGTCTCTCTGGGGACCCTTTGCACATCGCACATCTGCCTCCCTGGTGTTTCTCGTCACAGCAGGGCATGGTGATATTATCTTGGGCACAGCATGATGCAACAGCAAAAGCTCAGCCCTCAGTGAATTGGTAAGTCAGCGAGAGACACAGGAACAACACCCATCTTATGCGTCTTCTTAGTAGGATTGAACCCAGCCCTTCAATTCCTCCTTGAAACCCTCTGCTCTTGTGGTTTCTAAGACAATGATGTCTCTTCATTTGCTTTCCTGAATAACCCTGGACACCTTTCTAGTTCCCTTTGCTGGCTCTTCATTCTTTTCCAGATCTTTAAATATTGGTGCCCTCTGTGCTCTTCTCTCTGATTGCCAGAGAGACCTTTTCCTAGGTGATTCCATTGGCTCTTGACTTTAGGTACCAATCTGAGATGGATGCCCCTGACATTTTTCTCTTCAGCTTTGACCTTTTCCCTAAGCTCCAATATCCGACAACTTATATGATTTCTACAATTTGATCTTTTCTTGGCTTTTCGAATTGAACATTTCCCAAATTAAACTGTAATACCTCCGCCGGGTGCGGTGGCTCATGCCTGTAATATAAGCACTGTGGGAGGCTGAAGGGAGCGGGTCACCTGAGATCAGGAGTTTGAGACCAGCCTGGCCAACATGGTGAAACCCTGTCTCTATTAAAAATACAAAAATTAGCCAGGCATGGTGGCAGGTGCCTATAATCTCAGTGTTAAGGAGGCTGAGGCAGGAGAATCGCTTGAACCTGGGAGGTGGAGGTTGTAGTGAGATGAGACCTCACCATTTTACTCCAGCGTGGGCAACAAGAGCAAAACTCCATCTCAAAAACAAAACAAAACAAAACAAAAAAGTCTGTAATTCCTCCACCCCAAACTCATCCCTCCCCAGCACCTATTGCACTTACCTTTATTTCCTGCAGTTTATTCATCCAATGAATATCTATTGAGTGCCATCATTCTTCCAAGCATTATTTTAGGCAGCAGTGAACTGAATCAAGAAGATAAAAAGTCCCCGTTTTTGTGAAGCATGTACTTTAGCAGGAGAACCAGAAAATTCCGACTAACTAAATAAATAACATAATTGCAGACACCAATACCTGTCCCTCCTCACCACGTCTCAGTGGAGGACACCACCACTTGCTAGTTGTTGAGTCCAAAATGCCTGATGTCATTCTTGACTCCTGCTTTCTTCTTACCTTCTCTGTGCAATCCTTCGGCAAGTTCTGTCACCTCTGTCTCCAAAATATACCTGTTTGGGATACAGTTGCTGTGGCAAGGGTGTTGAGACTGGGTGGGATCAGAAATAATGACAGTGTATGCCATATGCTGTGCCTGGAAAAAGAAAAACCAACAAAGATGAAAATGTTTTCCTATTCTTTTGTTACTAGGGCAATTCATGTTATTGCTACTCCTTAGTTTTGTATTTCTTCAGGTCTCATTCTTTGAGGTGTTGGGGTGTCCTCTGATTCCTTTATTTGCTGCAGTGGGGTGGTGGTACCTGTTTTGCCACTGCATTCTCTCCAAGGCACATCTCAAGCTGGTTCTGTGGAGTCTGACTGAGGCACAGGTGCAGGCCCATGCCCTTCCACGCCCTCACTCACCTCACTGGGATGCCCATAGCCCCAGCTTCTGAGTTGGGGTTTTAGAAAAGTCTTGTAGTGTTCAAAGGAGGACTGTGCATGTGTAAGTTAGATGGCAACCAAAAATATATATCTTATATATGTGAACACCGGGTGGTCTGCAGGGCCTCACATGGCTTCCACATTGTTCCTGAGTCCTGGCAGTAGTGAAAGCTTCTCTGTGACACAAGGTGAAGCTGGGAGGCTCCTCACATTGTCTTCACACCTTCCTGTGTGGCCTCTCTAGTTGCTGTCCAGAACCCACCTTCTCTCCTTCCTTAGTCCGGTGTTGGGGGCGAGGAAGAGAAAGAGAGGAGCCTTGCTTCCTTCTATGTGGTCTGCATGAAATCAATCACTGGAGCCCACGTTGCCCTCTTTCCTCTAGAGACCTGACATTTCTGATCTCAAATGCAAGGCTAGATCATATTGTCATTCTTCTTCTGTGATAATTATGTGGAATAGTTGACAGAATGGTGAAGTTAAGTCTGAGAAAAAAAAATACCTCAAATAGCAGAATCTCTCTACCTTTGCTTTGTCATCAAGGAATCCCAAAATTGTGAAAAATGGTTACACCTACATAAATCTAAAACCACTGGGGTTTATAAAGAGTGCCCATGTGCATAATCTCATTTAGTCCTCAGGCCGATGCTGTGACTTAGCTACAGTTAGTGTATAGAGAATAGATGATAAAAGCTGCACTCAGCTGGGGCTTAAATGCAGCTCCCTGCCTAAGTTCACTGCATGATTCACTCCCAGGTGAAAATCCTGACCTTGATGGCTACCAGTTCCAAATGCCCAACTATCGTTAGGTTTCCCTCAAATGGCAACTTCAGGCAACTTTCCTCAAAGCTAATAAAGTTTAAGTTTCAAAGCACCTGCCTTGCGCAGACCCCTAGAATGCTGGGAGTCTCTGAGAGTTGCAGAGTGTCCCAGGATTGGTGGATCTGGGCTTCCATCAAACGGCAACTTAAGGCAATTTCTCCCCTTGGCCCCACCAGGACACTCATCGTGGGGGTCACAGCTTTACTGCTTCAGTGCGTCCCTGCCTCTTGGTTCCAATTCCTGGAGACAAAGGAGCCGTTTGAAGCCTAGGCAGGAAGACGGGCCTTTAGAAAGTGCTGGGACAGGAGCAAGCAGACCAGGTGACTGACTGGGAGTGCG